ATGACTCCAAGATTGCTCTCTTGAGTGGTAACAGCTAATTTAGACACCATCGTTTTATATGTATAGTTGGGATTGTGTTTTCCAATTTGCATTACTTTGCATTTATCATCAACACTGAATTTCATCTGCCATTTTGTTGCCCAGTCACTAAATTTTTTTGAGATCCTTTTGTAGCTCTTCACAGTCTGCTTGGGACTTCACTATCTTGAGTAGTTTTGTATCATCTTCAGATTTTTCCACCTCACTGTTTACCCCTTTTTTCAGATCATTTATGAATATGTTCAATAGGACTGGGCCCAGTACTGACCCTTGGGGGACATCACTATTTACCTCTCCCCATTCTGAAAACTGACCATTTTTTCCTACCTTATGTTTCCTATCTTTCACCAGTTACCAATCCATGAGAGGGCCATTCCTTTTTATCCGACAGAGTACTTTGTTTAGGAGGCTTTTGTGAGGGACCTTGTCAAAGGCTTTCTGAAAATCTGAGTACACTATTTCCACTGGATCCCCCTTGTGCACATTCTTGTTGACCTCCTCAAAGAATTTTACTAGATTGGTGAGGCATGATTTCCCTTTACAAACACCATGTTGACTTTTCTCCAACAAATTATGTTTATCTATGTGTGTGACAATTTTGTTCTTTACTATAATTTCAACCAGTTTGCCCGATACTGAAGTCAGGTTTACTAGCCTGTAATTGCCAGGATCACCTCTGGAACCCCTTTTTAAAAACTGGCATCACATTAACTATCCTCCAGTCATTTGGTGCAGAAGCTGATTTAAATGATGGGTTGCAAGCTACAGTCAGTAGTCCTGCAATTTCATATTTGAGTTCCTTCAGAACTCTTCGGTGAATACCATCTGGTCCTGGTGACTTATTACTGTTTAGTTTATCAATTTGTTCCAAAACATCCTCTAATGACACCTCAATCTGGGACAGTTCCTCAAATTTGTCACCTAAAAAGAATTGCTGAAGTTTGGGAATCTCCCTCTCATCCTCAGACGTGAAGATTGCTGCAAAGAATTAATTTAGTTCTGTGCAATGGCCTTATCATCCTTGAGTTCTCCTTCAGCATCTCAATCGTCCAGTGGCTCTACTGGTTGTTTAGCAGGCTTCCTGATTCTGATGTACTTTAAAAAATTGTTCCTATTACTTTTTGAGTGTTTGACTAATTGTTCTTCAATTCTTTTTTGGCCTTCCTAATTATATTTTTACACTCCTTTCTATTTTCCTCACTAGGATTTAACTTCTACTTTTTAAAGGATGCCTTTTTGTCTCTCACTGCTTCTCTTACTTTGTTACTTAGCCAGGGTAGCATTGTTTTGGTTCTCTTACTATGTTTTTTAATTTGGGTATACATTTAAGTTGAGCCTCTATTATGGTGTCTTTAAAAAGTTTCCATGCAGCTTGCAGGGATTTTACTTTTGGCCCTATACCTTTCAATTTCTGTGTAACTAACTTCCTCATTTTTGTGTAGTCCCCCTTTTTGAAATTAAATGCTATAGTGTTGGACTGTTGTGGTGCTTTCCCCGCTACAGGGATGTTAAATTTAATTATATTATCGTCATTATTACCAAGTGGTCAAGCTATAATCACTTCTTGGACCAGATCCTGTGCTCCAATTAGGACTAAATCAAGAATTGCCTTCCTCTTGTGGGTTCCAGGGCTAGCTGCTTCAAGAAGCAGTCACTTAAAGGGTCTCTGCACCCCTTCCTGAGTGACATGTACCCAGTCAATAGGGGGATAGTTGAAATCCCCCATTATTATTGAGTTGTTTATTTTTATAGCCTCTCTAGTCTCCCTGAGTATTTCACAGTCTCTATCACCATCCTGGTCAGGTGGTTGGTAATATATCCCTGTACACATGAAGCCTTACATCATATTCTGCAAAAATTCATTTGACTCCCTTTCCCCCAATGTTTTTCTATTACTAAATTATTTTTCTTTCCTCCAGTTTACAGTGTAAAGGCCTGATTTCACAATCATTTCATCCCAGTGTAATTCCACTGATTTCAGAGGAGTTATTTATTTACACAGGTAAATGAGATCACCATCCATCTATAAACCAGTGTGTAGAAGCACCAGTTTGGGACAAAAAACAAAAATACAAGTAACCCCTCCCCCCCGCCCCGCCCAAAAGTCTCAGCTATCTTCACATCCTTTTCTTCAGGGGTTAGATTTATTTCCAAAAATCACACACTTTAAAACCAGAACAAATCAACTCAGACTATGAAGGGGTATATTCAAATCTATTAAAAATAGAATTAAAATGGTTTTCCATCTCTAGAACATACATATTTCTTGTGTGCTAACAAGGAAAATGAGGCTGTTTGAAAGTCCAAAAAGCATACATCTTATTTCCTTTTCTTTTTCAGAATATCTGCTGTCACTTTAAAATTCTGTTAGAATACTACTGAAAAAGAAATGGACAAAGCATTTATTTCCTGGAAGCTGTGTAAAACTGTAAAAGACAAATTATATAAGCACCCTCAGTTTCACAGCAACTAACAATTAGCAGGGTGAATTGATTTAAATCAGAGCAATTTAAGTTGCTGATTTTAATCATGATTTAAATCAGTGGGAAACCTTGATTTAAATAATTGATCTTATTAATGTTTTGCACCTGTACTTTTTAGTTACTTTCTTTTAAAAAAGGTTGGTTTTCATTGATTGGTAACCATTGAATCATGTTGGTTTGCAACCAAATATAGGCTGCACACTATATTTGGTGAGGGTTTTTTTTGCTAAGCTGGAGGATACACTGTATCTAAGCAATTATACAGATAAGCTTACATTTATTCAAATTCTTAATGTGTATCATTCACCATTTTGTAACATATTTATTTACTAGATTTTTTTTTTTTTACCTGTGATTTGTGCTAAGCTCTGTTTGGATGGGGATTCAAATTCAGTTGAAAATGCATAGAACAGCATTTTATTTTTATCTCAAATGTGCTGGATACATAAAACCAGTTTATTCATGTTTTGCATTTAAAATTCACTGATTTATTAAACAAATGAAGCATTATCTGAAGTAAATTAATTGAGCTGATTATTTCTGGTTACCATGTCCTTTAAGATTTTCTATCTAGAAGATCTCACCCTCTCACCCCTTGTTTTTATTCAAATTCATTGGAGGAGGAAAACAAGCTTTTCTGCTTCTTCAGCTCCCAATCTGTTTCTTAACTTTGAATAAACTAGTCATTGAACTGAACTAGTTGAATAAAATGAAATTAAGATATTCTCTCTTCACCTGCAGCAGAGACTACTGTTGTTAAAAGCTGGCTTAGCACTTCCATAAACTCTGGTTCTAGATGCTTAACCAGAGACTGCCACAACATCAGTTGTTTGGCTTTCTTTAAAACTTGGCAACAAACATTTACTAATTATTTTTGTATTTTATTTAAATGATTTTAATAGATTATAAGTGGTTTAGGGCTTAACATATATCTTCAATTTCAAATAATTTTTAAGAGATAAACCTTTATTTAATTTAAATGAAAAAAAAATCTGTTTTTATTTTTTTCTTTTTGTAGAGAAAAGTATCGGTTTTTATCTACCCTGGCAACTGAGCTAAATGCATGCAGAAAGTCACAGCCATTTCCATTAGGGGCCAAGATAGCTGTGTTATGCTGGACATTGCTCCCTTTCCTTATTTCACTAGGAAACAGGAAGAAGGGAAATGTTTTTAAGCAGGTAGCAATAAAAATGAACATACGTAAGTGCTTAAAAGACCTGGGTTCAGAGTAAGCATCTGCCTTAATTATAAACTTACTTTGTGCCAAAACCCACATTATTCTAGCAAAACCCACGTTATTCTAGCTTTTGTATTTATTACATGCACATGTGTGTGGGGATGTGCACCATTATCTTCCTCTGAGGAACTAAGTGCTCTCAGGAAAGCTTCATATTACAGCCAAGTTCCAAGAGACTGCTCATCCACAGCATACTGGATCTCAAGATTCAATTCATTCACCTTGGGCATAAAATTGCTTGTTTCTCTAAGGTGCCTGCACATTGATTTAGTCCCTTCAAATCATCTGTATTTTTCCTCTTGTGGCCTGACACTAACTGGTTCTTTTATTCCGTTTAGGAAACAGAAGTAAATCTTTATGGACTGTTCAAATTTACACTTTTCCAGTGCAATGAACTGCAATGTACCCAATAGTTTGTTTACTCAGGAAGTAGAATTCCACAGGTATCCATTATTTATTTTTCATTTTTGAAAAAATGGTCCTACCTAAAACTCTACACACTTGTACAAATTATTTACCACATCACATTAAAATCTATTATGACCAATGACCACATCAAAACCCTGCTAAAAATTCTACAGTCCCCAACTCAAACCATCCCTCAGGAAAAGATTGGAGAAATAAGTAAGGTGTGCAGGAGCCCAAAGGTTAACACATTTTGGCTTTGTTGAACTAACAGGGATCTTTATTTCTCTTTTTAATTTAGTAAAATTTGGATTTAGATTATAGTCACCCAGTGGCAAGCCAGAACAACAAAAACTATGTTATAAAAGAGATAACCTCCACTCCTCAGACTTCCCCGAAAACTTCATACTGTAGTGGAGTGGAGTTATTTGTGAAGTCCTACAAAATGGAGTCTCCTCACAACTTCACAAATAACTCTGCTGCCAGCAGGATTCTGAGTGCAATCTCCTGGGGACTTCTGTATTTCTCAGATACCTCACAGTAGTTAGAATAGGATTTTAAAAGTTTGACTCAAAACCAAGATAACTTTTGCAGATTTTTCTCTGAAACAGTTAAGTGTTCGAATAAACCAGAATCAACCTTATGACATTACCTTCTCCAGCTACATCTCTAATAGTAATAACCTATCCAAGCAGACATAAGGGCCACATGGAGGCCCTATGAACCACATGGCTTTTAGGAAAAGGGAGCCCCCCCGCCCCCCAATCATTGTGTGCTTTCAGAATCTGCAGTTCTAAACTCTCCTGGTTGTTGTCAATGGTTACTCCCTTACTTACCTGTCAATAATGGCACACATATCAATGCTGACATTGGCAAAGCTTCCCAGTTTGCCTTGCTCCACTGCATGCAAATCCACCAGTTGATCATCCACGTGAATAAACTGCATGCATCCTTGAAATGAGAGCTGGAGCAGGGAACGATCTGAGTCATTTGTTTGTGTAAGGAACCCTGTGGAGCAGAGAAAGCAAGAGCATTGTTAATTTCAGTGGAGGTCACTCCCTACTAAAAGTCAAAGCTGCACTTTTCCTGTTACCAAAGACAGTGTCCTGGCCATGTGGGAAGAAAGACAAAATGCAAGGGATGTAGTTTAATTAAGTTGCAACTCTATTAACTCATCTGGGAATTATCCAGTAATAACTCGTACAGTGCAGGTCATGATTCCTTCCCTAATTGTTTCCATTTGGAGGGCTGCCTTTAGCCTTAGACAGCTGGTCCCCAGCCTGTTGCTGGGACCCAACCACCCTCTCCTGCTCTGAGGGTTAAAGGGCTGGGGAAAGAGAGTACCAAATATAGGAACCCTAACCCTATTCCCCAGTTTCTTAAGGGGATGCCTTCCTCCTAAGTCCACTTCCAACTCTGATTTCTTAGGGAACCTGACCCCCTATGGAATGACACGTCACCTGCAAAAGTGTCATATCTTGAACCATGGTACCACCTGTCTGACCTAACCAGGTCCCTGAGCAGCTCTGAAACCCACCCCAATCTGGTCAATCTGGCAGTAAAGAAAATAAAGGTCTTCCTAATCCCCAAAATTTGCCTAGTGCAATGCCAACAGCAGCCCCAAACCCTAAATCTTATGCTAATCACAGTGAGAATGCAGGTGTGAGAGGGGGTTCAAGTTGGAGGGTCAAGGTTTATATACACTGCTCCAGGTGCATGGGGCCAATAGCTTACCTGAGCCTTACTGACTCACACACCTTGCCTGTTCCTGACCATCTCCCTTCTCTGAACCCCACAGGGCAAGGACACTAAAAGGGCCACTCCCCGCCCTGCAACAATCCACACAAAGTCTTTGAGGTTGCAATGGTTGCATTGTGAAAGTAGTTCCTTTTTTCATCAAAGTTGAGCCTACTTGACAGCCTGTGATACAGCAAAAATATATTTTTACAGGGAAAATTGTTCCTTTGGGTATGACAATAGGATGTGGAGGAAGCAACTGCTCATGGCTGCAGTTGTATTTTATTTCATGAGGGAAAAAGGTAATTATTACAGGGCAACTTCATATTTCCTAAACATACATTTTAACAGACAGGATCAACTGAACAATACCTAATGAAGGCATTAGAAAATATTCTATACATTCTTGAAGAAATAAAGACCCAGATATTCAGCTGATATAAATCAGTGTCATTCCGTTTACTTCAGAGGAGCTATGCTTATTACACCAGCTGAGGATTTGGCCCCCTGTGGTTTTCTTCTCCTTTTCACCCAATACTACTTATGACAGCCTCAGAAAGCCCAAACACAGTCCAGATTAGTCCAATCAAGTTGCCATCCTCACCTCTCTGTTCCCCCCCTATCCATGTACAGAAATGAAACACTGGTAGAAAGTTTCAATTCTGTGTTTTCCACTTTTTAAAATATTTTACATGCCAAATGGTCAATTTTCAACTTTTTCATTAAACCCACAATAGCTGTGAAAATTACACAGTTCTAGTCATGTTCTCCTATTGATCAAAGAACATTGTATATATAATCTCTTGGAGGTGTGAGGGTGGTGGCTATCATGGATTGAATTCTTGTCAGATTTCCTTGTTCATAGTACAAGTTCATATCTGTTCCTCTCTAAAAAGTATTATGTGTATCAGAGATATACAGTAATATGATGAAGCCTTGAAAGATACCCAGAGATCAACACTCCAAATATTTGATCATTTTACCCCTTCACCTAGTTCTGTTCTTAAAGGGAAAAAAAAACAACCACCAAGGTTTTTTTCTCTGCAGAAGGAGCTATAGAATAATGATGATTGCTTTATACTTTGTAGCACTTTCTATCAGGGATCTCAAAGCACAATAGATAACTCATCAAGCCTCAAACATCCAAATGGCATTACTATAATTAACCTTATTTTACAGATGGCAATAACACAAGACAGATAAAATAAGAGACTGTTCCAACGTTGCATTGCAAAACAGTGGCAGAGGTGGAAATAGAACCTTGAATTATTCATTTCTAGTCTCAAACTCCCATAGCTCCACCTCGTTTCTTCTCTTTACTATATCTGTGTAATTGAGGAGGTGCTGTCCATTTTGTTTTTTATTTTGTTCATTGTCAAAATGAAGATAAAAATAGTTGTGCTGAATAAGAGAGAAATGTGTACAACCCTGGTCTGCTTACAATGTTCAGATACTGCTCCAACAGGAACCAATGATACAATTTCAAACACCTAAAATGATTGGACTAATTCCTATGATGCATCATAGAATCTAGAGATGGAAAAAGGTAAGGCATCCTGTCTATCCTTTGGCCATTCAGGATTGATACCTGATGCTTTCTCCAGCTGGGTTTGAAATGGTGGTTGAGGTTAAGGAAAACCTTTGGGCTGTTTCAGTCTAATTCCCTATTTGTTAATACCATTAAACTATCAGAAGATTGGTATCACTTCTCCTCAGCAAGGACCCAAAACCTGCCATGGCAGAGCATGTGGCTGTTTAGATTTGAGGTGCACTAGAGGGCTGTGTGGGGAAGCTTGTGCGCACAGCATCCAGTGCTAAAAGTGGAGGATCTATTTTTGACAGAAATGAAAGTATCACCACATCTGCCTATCCCGTAATCAATTTTGCCCCTCCATGACTTCTTCCTCGTCCAGTGTTCCTGCCCCAGCCTCACCTCTGGTCTTTCTTCAGCTCCAGTTGTTTTTCATCCCCCTTTCCAGGCTGGGTGTTGCAAAGCAGGAGAGAAGTAGAGGAGCCAATGCTCATAGGAGCAGAGGAGGAGGAAAAGTTGCCTTGAGCTGCTGGGCTCTTTCTGCTCCCTTATCTCTCCTCCCCTTATGTGAAAGGGAGGGCAAGTGTGTGTGTGTGGGGGGGCAGAACTCAGCAGCTCCCAATGGCTTCTCTGCCCTAAGAGGCAGGGAAGTGGGGAGGGGGAGCCAATTACAGGGACCTTTCCCCCAGGCAACACTAAAATGTGGCCCCTCAGCAACCCTGGTGGAGTTGTAGAATTTTCTGGGTCTTCAACCCCTTTCTCCAGGCGCACTTTATGCCCTGCCTACCTCTGGCTCAAGCCAGTGATATTACTTTTTTGCTTTGAATACTAAATTAACCCAAGGTTAATAACAAAAAAGACAAACTCAGCCCTTAGCTGAATTAATGCAAGCCCAGTGAAGTCAGTGATGTTTTGTGGTACAAAGGAAAGAATTTAGCCAAAAGAAGAATGATCACAGGATGGATATTCAAGTACTGATAAAAATAGCAGGTCAAATTCTGCAGCCCATTGTCAATCTTTATTCAGGCAATGCCCCATTGACATCATTAGGAGTTTCACCTCAGTAAAGACTGAATGATGACTGCATAATTAGACCCAGCAATCTACTACAGCAGATAATGTATTATTCCAGAATCATTCAGGGGTGTTTTCAGGAAGGAAATGCATCATTTTAAAACATTCTCAGAAAATAAATAACCTGTACCCCATATTGCCCTTCCAACAGAGAAGTGCAGAACTTAGTGCAATGCAAAACCAGTATCACTACCATCATAGCTACATAAACTTGTATCAAAACCAGCTGTTCTCCAACTGCTCTATATATGAGTGGCTGGGCATGTAATTTTCAGACAGCAGGAGAGAGTCATAATTGCCCAACCCCCAACAGACCACCTCACTTCCTGGCTACATATTGACCAATCTAATGCACAACAGAATAGGAACAAAGGTGATTCAATTTATACGCCTCACAGAAACCCAAGCAGTAAGAAGGAATTAGTGTGGACACTAGGAAGCAAGAAAGACTACAGCTGGATCCTCTTACACTCTTGTAAAAGGCTTGAACCTCCTAAGAGAATAAATTAGATAGGAATAAATATTCTACTACAGACTAAGGAAGAAAAAATTGACCAGGACAACTAACTGGCTTTGTAAACCTGTTGAGGAATTTGTCTTCTTGTCTAGGAGGAAGAACATCTGGGACAGGCCAGAGGGATTGGCTAACAGAGACGAGCCTAGGAACTGATAACTACTTACAGCTGCAGAAAGTTTATTTATTATAAGTTTTGTTGATGTGTACTGATTCAAAGATGACTCCTCTTCTTCTTAAAGAAATCGTGCTGACGAGGTAAGAGGGCAGCTTGCTGGAAATTCCCTAGCCACCTATATCCTCCCAAGGAGATCCTGGCACCATAAATCCCACCTGGCTGATTGTATCCTAATATCTTCCAGGAAATTCACTCAGCTCATGACACATCTCAGCTTCCACAATGATATATCACCTGCAAACAATTCTTCAGACATGCATGTACTGCAGCTCCACTGAGAACCAAAGCCAGTTACCCACACAAACAAAATACAAGTATGTGTCTCAGACAGGTTACAAAACCATAAAGAGAATCTCAGTCAATCTTATCCAAAAGATAAAATATGTGTATCAAGAGGAGATCTGGCCTACATCTCAACATTGGCTTAAGAAAAAGAACTCTGGACAACACAACATAATGTTTAAGACAGTAGTCAGGTCAGTCTGCATTCCAGTATCATCAGTCAAGCCTCTATCCAGAAGAGACCTACATGGTAAGATTGCTGAAATATGAAACTTGGTTCAACAACACTAGTCTGAAGGTCTATTACTTTAAGCTGCTAGACCTACTCACAGTTTCACTGGGTGTCACAGATTTAAGTATATAATCACATGTGCTAGAATTTGAAAGGATGTGTCATGTCTGGGAGGGGCAAGCATTATCTGAGACTCCCACACGGATGGGGCGACTGACATTATAAGCAGTCACACTCCCCATTTGGCTTCTCAGCAAACTGCATTTTCATAAGATGCCAAGTAATTTTGTTCTGTATTTCTCAATGTCTTCTTAGTGGGAGGAGTGAAACATGATGTAACAACGTGAGAAGCATAGACAGATTATTGTAGATTTTTCATGAGATATATCAGATTGGATCTACCACATGACTAACCAGGATTCCTGGGGTATACTGAAACAAATCCTTGAGGTAATGTCAG